GATGCCGTCAATTTTTAAAGAGTGAACTTTTATTTAAGTACGACCTGATAAAGCAGCTAAAAATCATGCATGTGTCAGCCCACGTTTGAAGCATTTAAACGGAGCAGGTTGTGGTTTGAAATGAACCAAATTAAAAAAAATATGCAAAACTACTTGGATGAAAACATCATAAAAAATCAAATCTATTTTAGAGAGGAGAAGTCAAATTTGCAAACATAAACAGTGATGTTCACCGCGGAAACAGTCCTGTCCTTTATACTCTAAAAATCCCTTACTGGCATTATTTAGAGTTACTACAGATTCACTTATCACAGATAAAATACACTACAGTAACATACTTTTCCTGCTTTGCATTTTCAGTTTGCACCATTAATTTAATTCTCCATGTAATAAACAGTTACAGTTAAGGTAGAAAATGAAAGTAAGAAAGCGTCTGCATTTGGTTGGGCTGCTTCAAAAAGCTTCACAGACGATTGCGGCGGCGTTACGGTTTGAAAAAATTCAAAATGAAGTCGTTTTAGTGCTTGAAAAGTTTCTGTTTCACAACAACTAAATTTTAAAAAAGAATAGTGCAAGTTAGTGCTCTGGACTCTTAGATTTCTGTCGTTGTTGGATGATTATTTTCAACGAGTGAACTCATGCACCTCGTGTTTGGTGACACCACGGCCAGCTCTATTTGTTGCTAAGAAACAAATCCGTAAGAAAATAAGAAGAAAAAAAAAGAAAGTTGTGCCCGGCGTCATAAAGAGAAACCTTTTTATGGTTTTCAGTTTGCATCATCGTTTGTCGCCTGTGAACTTGGCGCTTAAATCAGCCGTGATGTTGTGGGAGCAATTTTGGCTTTTTTTTTTTGCCAAACAGAGATTTTACAGTCGTGAGGAAAAAAAGAAACGTTCAATCAGTGTGAAGCTGTGACGCCTGCGTCTCTGTGGCGAAGTCTACAACTCTGGTGTAAAAAAAAAGTGTGTGTGTTGTGATCCAGTGTGCGGTTCTGTACGTACGTGTTCTCCTGCACGAGGAGTGTGGCGTCATTACATCACGACTTTCCATGCTTGCTCTGTCTCTGTGTGTGCTCAAAGTGTGTGTGTGTGTGTGTGTGTGTGTGTGTGTGTGTGTGTGTGTTTTTGCCAGATTTTGGGGGAGGGAGAGGCGGGTGTACACTTCTCACCTTTTACGTTAAATGTCATCCAGACCACACCCCTGGCGCTCTCTCTCACACACATAAACACACACACACACACACACAGATTGTTTTAGGGTAACTTTTCTGCCCTTTGCACATTTTTCCCTCACTTGTTTGTGGGGAATTAGACGATGAGAACCTGCCAAATTGTGCGAGTGTGAAAAGAAAATATGGAGGAATGGAAAGAGAAAAGTAAGAAGTGATACACACGTAATACAAGCATCAACACTTGCACACACACACACACACACACACACCACAAAAATACACAATCGGTCCAATCTGATGCTGTATCTTGGAGAGTGAAAGGGAGCCTTGTCTCGCTGCCTGAGGAACTCCCTTTGACTTGGACTGTGTGTGTGTGTTTGTGTGTGTGTGTAGGTGTATGCGAGTGCATGCGCTGGCCTGCCAGGCAGACATACTAAACCACTCTACATCCATGTGGCAGCAAAATGCCGCTTGGAAAACAACCCCTCTCTTACACGCACATACACACCCCGAGGGCTTCAGAGGCCAGCCGGCGACCTGGTGTGTGTGTGTGTGTGTGTGTGTGTGTGTGTGTGTGTGTGAAATTGTGTGTGTATGTGCGTGCCACAGTAAAAAGAGGAAGTGTACAGGAGCTGTGAAAACAGTTCAGGTCAACAGTTTGTACCCAGACGGATCGACAGAGGGAGAAAAAAGGAAACTTGAGAGATGAAGGAATTTGAAGATGTGTCTTTAAAAAATAGACTTTCAAAATAAAGTTCACCTGATTGGTCACGTTTGGGCGGCAATTCTCCAGAAAAGGTTCAACTGTAAAATGTCTTCTATCAGTAATCCCCTGCAACCAGAAAAATCCAAGCACATTGATATTAAACCGCTGAGATTGCTGACTACAGTAGCAAAAAACTTGGCCCACAATGCAATGCAGCTGCGGGAAAAGACGAACACTTAAAGAGATAAATTCAAAAAGCTAATCCCTAAAACGCACAGTGTGGATGAATTAATGTCAACACCTCATGAAAAAGGTCTTAACATCTGCAGGAAGTTAAGCGCCCTGACAACCAGAGGTGGGGCGTGTTGGTGCCCTGAAAATGCTAATTAGCGACGTTTTTCATCTATAAAAGCTCGTCTGGCAATCAAGAGTTTTTCAAAAAGCAACATGAAACGGCCGACGGAGCCGCCGCGGAGAGGGCCGAGGCATCTGTGCTCAATTTGAGCCGAGGTTCACACAGAGACGTCAGGATGTGAGGTGCGTCGTGCGAAAGGGATGAGCCTGGAAGAAAAAAAAAACAGTTGTGAGATTTCAGACGTCGTTGTGTCTTTGATTGTGATTTTTTTTTTGGGGGGGGGGGGGGGGGGGGGGAGAGCGGGGAGGGGCTGTGTCTGAAAACGTTGAAGTATTTCTGAACTTTTCAGCTTACTTGAGTCATGCCAGTCCAGAAGACACACTTCAGGTTGTCACTCAGTTCTGATTTATGCAACAAGTAAAGAAGAAAATTATCGTCATTTAGAATAATATAACGCAAACACAGTAAACATAAACAAAAGAGCAATATCGGAAAATGAAATCAGTTGATTGCCGATGTTTTAAAATGATTTTTTCCGACAGTACTTGTACTCGGGGTGGTTTTCAGGGATATTGTTTAAAAATGTAGAGACGATGGTCTGATGGACGCTCGAGATTAAAGTCACTTTAGTCGCTTCTGAACCCGTCCACAGCCGACCAAAATCAGCTGTATGTAAAACACTGATTATTAAAAGGTTCTACATACGATGCCGTAAATGATACGTTAATTTAATCACAGTAAAGGTTTGGGAAAGGTCTCGGATATGATGAATAAGTTGAGACTAGAATTCGGAAAATATTGTGACAAAAAAAATGTTCATTCAAAATATATGTTTTTAAAATACTGACGACATTATAAACGTATTCCGGTAAATGTGAATAACAGGGCAATAAATCTGATTTACCTAAATGTATTATGTAATTATTTACTGATTACCTACACACATTAATATTACATAATGACCGATAACTCAGGAGAGAAATAAATGTGGTGTAATGACAGATTTGATGTCCTGCTTGTACTCATAACGATGATCAGATCTACACAATTCTACAATTCTACAATTCTACAAGATCTTCTCCACACAGTTGGATTCTGATGGATTTAATTTTTTAGTAAAACAGAGAAGTTGAATCACAGAAAGTTTCTAAGAAAGCTTGATCACTTCCTTCTTTATCTCCTAAACTTAATGGATCTCCGTGATGATTAAAAGGGACCCGGAGAGCTCTGGAAACATGCTGAATGAAGCGTACATGTGAGGGATCAATTCCTCCAAAGAAAGGTATCAATAAAAGGCAAAAATGTGACTTCAAATCGAATATCCAGAAATATTCTCCATATTTTTTTCATTCAGAGCGGTGTGTGGCAGCTGTCGAGGTAGTTCAGTGTTGGTAGGCGACTGTAGCTGAATTTTGTTGAATTGAAAGTAACGTTAAGACGTCAATGCAGTTTTCAAAGCGGCAATTTACTCCGAATCGCAGACGATAAAAATCTGAAATTTCAGTCAGTGAAACGCTGCAAGAACATAAAACACCCTACCTCTGTGGAAGATGTGTCCCAGACTGGAAGCATCACTATCTGCTTAAAATGACACACACATGGACGCTTATACAAACCGTGCGCGCGTTATGGTAGGTTTCAATGTTTTTGCCCCTTCAAAATAAAAGAGCAAATAAAGGCAAAATGTTCTAATTGCGATATAATGAGTTTTGTAAAAAGGCACTTTAACCTTTATGTTTCAGTCGTTGTACATCGATGTGGGAAAAACTGTTTTACAGCATCTTATAGTACTGCTTCTTATTTACAGACGTTATCTGTATGTGTGTGTGTGTGTGTGTGTGTGTGTGTGTGTCATACATATCTCTTTCCCCAGGAGTAAACTGGGGTCAAACCAGTTAGTGTTGTCACGGCAATTTGCAGTTCGGCCTCTGCGTGTTTGTTTGCTTTGCACGTTTTTGTGTGACTTTTATGAATATGGCGCTCGTGTGCATGAGTGTGTGTTTTAACTGTACGTGTGTGTGTGTGTGTGTGGTGTGTGTGTGTGTGTGTGAATGATGTGTGTGTGTGTGTGGTGTGTGTGTGTGGTGTGTGTGTATGTGTAACACAGTAAGCTGCCCTGGGGCTGATATATATTCTTTTCACTCAAACAGCCCATTTACAGTTCTGGGGTCGGCTCCCTCTCGCTCTGCCGTGACCCGGACCGTTTAGAGGTCAGCGTCAAAGCTGAACCCCGGTCAGCTCGCTAACTGACTCCAGCTCCAGGTCCTCTGGGGGTTGACTGACGGCGGGGTTACTCAAACTGCAGGGCGGCGAGGGCCTGAAATGGGCAGTTTGGCAATCTCCTGGTGTGTCCCAGCACGAGAAAAAGGGCAAATATACCGACCGTGTCCTCTTGACCAAAGACATTTCAGCAACTTTTAAAGCCTCTAAAACGCTCAGTGACTGTTCTGCGATCGCGTTCCTCCACATCAGCCGTCAATTTCGTCGCCTTCTTTTCTTGGATTTCGCGGTGGATCGTTTGAGTTACTGCCTTTTTTTCCCTTTTCGGCCAAAAGAGGAATGGCTTTCACTGCCCGTGCAAATTCCCCATTTGGTTCTTCTTCTTCTGTTTATTTCTGTTTATTTGAAACTGGAAACATTAAACATGCTCCTTCCTGGGGAAAACTGAGTGTTTGGAACGAGAATAAAAGAGCTTTCATTTCTTAAAAGACTACTTCCTGTCGAGCTCTAAGATTGACCTACATGTCTTTTTCTCTCTCTCTGTCCAGGGTTCGGGCTTCCACGCGTCGAGGCGGCAGAAGTACGGCAATGTCTTCAAGACCCACCTGCTGGGCCGCCCTCTGATCCGGGTGACGGGCGCCGACAACGTCCGCAAGGTGCTGATGGGCGAACACACGCTGGTGACGGTGGACTGGCCTCAGAGCACCGCCACGCTGCTGGGACCGAACTCGCTGGCCAACAGCATCGGAGACATCCACCGCAAGAGGAGGAAGGTCAGTACAAAGTTGACATGGAAGGGTTTATATTTCGCTCTTTTAAAAAGTAATGCAAATAAAGTTTGTCTCAGCGCTTCAAGAAAAAATGACAAAAGGATAGATACCGACAGACAACAGGTTACACATCGACTAATATGTGTCTCTAATCTGTCTACAAACCCCCCAAATGAGAAAAGTCCATCCTCTCCGTCTTCTGCCTGCTCCACTTTTCAGAAAATGTGTGCTCAAACAGGCCGTTTGTAGATTTTCCCTTCATGACATCACAAAGGGCAGTAGCCCCTCCCCCAGGTGGGTGACACTCCCACGGCTAGGTGTTTGTTCTGCCCTCTGAGTCTGCCTTCTCACCGTAAACAATAGGACATGGAGCGAGAAAGACAGAGTACACCCAAGCCCTTCCAGAGAGGGGGCGTGGTCAGACACAGCTCATTTACATATTTAAAGCCACAGAGCCCAAAACTGTTCTTAGTAGCCTTGAAAGATTTTGCGGCGCTTGCTGTCCAAAACTGAAAGAATTCAAAAACAGTATTGCGGCTTCATCTTTTTTTGCAGAATTTCAAAATGTACCTGCTTGAAAGGCCCCAACTTATCCGAAGTTCAAGATTGGTACAAAAAAAACATTCACAAAATGACATCCACGGCGGGAGGAGGAAGCACGTTAAACATTTAAAAGTACATGCAGTGCAACCAGTTTTGTTACGTTGTTGAAAGCACTGGAGTCATTTGCTGCACAACGGGGAAGATAGGACACACTCTTACACACACACACACACACACACACACACACACAAAGAGAAAGACGATCAGTGTCAAGCTATCCCACGCTCTCGGTCTTATCAGCAGCGTTCTGGCTACTGAAGCGTGAGAACAACCTCTCCATCACGTCATCACCCGGTCAAAACAAGGCCCTCCCCCCGAATGCGTATTTTTGACTATTTCTCTGAATCTCACTACTATAACATACCTTTTTCTGTCTTTTTTTTTTTGTTACCGTCGCCCTCTTCCTTTCTCTCTTCCATGCCAGGACTATTTCAGGTAATCAGCCACTTAGCTCGCCCTCCCATTATCCCCGTTATCCCCGGGGCGCATACCTTTCCTCTCTCTCTCTCTCACAAACACAACCACAGATAAACACACCAGAAGCAGAGTGTGGTGCGCTTTTCTGTGAATCAGACTCTAGTTTTCTCTCTCCGGATCGTAGGTAAACGTTGAGAGGAAGGAGGGAGACTGTTTTTTTTTTTTGGAGGCGGGGTTCAGGTTTCGTTTGCCCTGCGCGTTGTCCCGGGACAGTGAGGGGTCGGTTGGGTCTAATCTGGGCTCTGATCCCCTCTCCTCTCCCCGGGAACCCCTGCACTAACCTCATGTAATGACCCCTGATTAGGGAAGGCAGCCTCCAACACAAGCACAAAGAGGGGCTTTCTGTGGGGGCCAAACATACGCGCACACACACACACACACACACACACACACACACACACACCTGAACATTCTTCTGCTCCACAGTCAAACGAGCCAGACGTACAGAAACCGATCATACAAGAAAACTCAGGTCGAAGTCGAGGGTTTTTGGATCGCCTTCGGGCAACACGAGGAATCTCGAAACCTGCTGCCGTTCAGTCCGATGCTTCTAATTTTCCTGCGGGGGGGCGAACTTAGAAGAGGTTCAGCAGAACCCGACTCAGGAAAGCAGCCACAACCCAAGATGTACGACCCTCCGCAGAACTTAATAGACCAGTTGAAGGTGGGAAATTTACCCCGCTCTCTGTTACCCCTGGTCTGAAATGTGTAACGCACAGAGGCGGTATGATGCAGCGCAGTCGCTCAGCCCCTGAGGCGCCATCGGAGGTCGTAAAAGAACTGATGAGGAAGAGACATTCATGCTGTTTAAAGTTGGATCTAACCGTTTAGATGCCCCGCCTCTTGTGCTTCCTCCACCCCATAATGCGACTCGAATCAACGGGCAAAAAATGACAAGCCAAAACGTGACTTGCCGCCGGTCGCAGCACGAAAACATGGGCCCCCCGACAGTGAGCATGCGCCCTAATGCAGGATAAAATCTCACAGGGCAACACAGATATTACGCCGTTGCAGATGCACAAACGGGGCGTCGTCGGCAGGACTCCTTTTACGACGCTGTTGCGGGATCCAAATGTGTAAAGCGCTACCGTTTTACTGGAGCAGAAGAAGAGGAAAGGAGGATTAGGTGAGCGAGTATGAAGAGAGAAAGTCCGCCCTCACTTTTTGATTAGAAGCGCAAAAAGTTAAGAAATGTCAATTCCTCGAAAATCTGTTTTTCTCCACATCTATCTCCATAAAAAGTTCTTACCCAGGAGTGTCAACAGACAGACGGAGAGAGAGAATGACAAGCAGGGACACAGAGGTCAGCTAGCCTGTGTGTGTGTGAGTGTGTGTGTGTGTGTGTGTGTGTGTGTGTGTGTGAGTGTGTGTTGGCAGGTCTCCCTCCTGTTTTCTGGGTAATAAAAAAAGTCAACAGACAGAAGCGAAACAACATCAACTGAGAGAAAGAATGAGCGACTGGCTTGCTGTCTGACCCACTGGACCAGAACCGCTCCTCAGTGTGTGTGTGTGTGTGTGTGTGTGTGTGTGTGTGTGTGTGTGTGTGTTTTTCTGTGCGTGTGTGTGTGTGTGTCAGACCTCCTTGCGGTTTTCATACGGAAAAACAATCTTCACACAGCACATTAGCCTTTTGGTGGATCAACAGAGGCAGCCAGTTTCCATCTAACCCCGTGTTAAGCTAGGAAACTAACTCTCCAAAGAGCCACAGCGGGGACGGGTTTTCCACTACGGGACGGTCAGGGGCCAAACGGGGCCAACATCGTCTCTGTCTAAAAAACAACTTCAAACTCAACGATGTCTTCCTGCGGACAGACGGAGTTTTTTATCACCGACCTGCACCGTGTCGAGGCTTCCACGCTGGGGTTTGGAAAACTGAAACTCAAATGCAAATTTTGCCAGAGAAATCAGTCGGAGCGAGTTTCCTATCAACTCCTAATCAACCTTGAAGACTTTCTTTTTTTTAATTCTGTTTTTTGAGTTTAAAGAGAGAGCAAACGTCACAGATATTCTGCTCTGCACCGTTCCCACCACCTTGTTACGTTTCCTGACATTTGATATCTAGTTCATTGATGTTTATATTTAACTCCTCCCATTATAATTCTGACGTGACAGTACAGGTAGCTTTCTTACAGTAACAGTTTTTAGGCCAGATTACGCAGATGACCTGTTTCAGCCTGCACCATTGAGGGGGAGACTTTTCGAACAGACTTATAAAGTTGGATTATTATTTTTGGGGCTTTTTTTTGCCTTTATTGGACCGGACTGTTGATAGAGCAGGAAATCAGGAAGGTGTATGGGAAAGGAGCCACAGGTCTGCGCCTGCTTGGAGGACTACTGCCTGCCTCCATACATGGGGCGCGACCTAACCGCTAAGCCATCTGCGCCTCAAATCTCTGACATGATTATGACAGTACTGCAAATGCATTCAGTAAGCAATGGAGATGTAATGAAGACTTTAGCTGACCTTATTTGGGATCAAGCCTGGCTCAGTTTGAGTATTCGGGTTCCTTTGTTTTTTGTGCACAAATGACAAAAGAGCCACAAAAAATATCGCCCATTTCTGCCCTCAGCTGCAATAAGTGTGCTGTAGTAAATCTGCTGCGCTTTGGAAAGTGTCCCTCAGAACAGAAAATCACACTGTGTGGATCTGATGAGGAGTTTTTAAAGCACAGTGGCAGCCAGCTCTGTCTTTTAAATTCCCTCATTCCACCTCGTTTTCTACATTCCACATTTTCCTTCTTGTTTGTTTTCCCTCTTTTTTTTTCTTTAAAACATTTTTAAATTCAGGAAAAGAAGAAGAAACGGCAGGAATAACAGAGAAGGCAGGTCATACAGGAGTAAAAAGAGAGACACAAGGAGAGGTCAAAAACAATCCCATGCTTCACTCTGCATTCAGTAAGACTGACTTCAACCTATTTGTTTTCTCTCCAGTTAGAAATCAGGAGATGTTAAAGTGCTGGAGAGGAAGTGAGAGCTGAGGTGAAATCAGTATGCAGCAGCTCTCGCGTCTCTCACATACTTGGAGGGTCCGTCTCCCTCCTCGTGCTTCTGCTCATCGCCAGTAGAGGGTGCTGCCAATTCTGGCTGAGCTGCAGCCAACTCTGCTTGTAACCCACTTTTTTTGCTTTTCTAAGTTTTTTTTTATCTCTCTCTCTCTGAGGTCAAATTTAAAAGAAAAGATATATGAACGGTGAGTTGTAGCTGGGTTTATGCAGAGTGTTTTTTTTTTTGCAGCATGGAGGTTCTGAATTTACAAAACAGCTGCAACAGTTTCAAAACTTGTTGCATAGTAAAAAAAAAAAAGAAGACCCTTATGGTAAGCACATAAGACAATACCAGAGACTAATAAGGTGTTTCTTCCCTGTCTCCCACCTCCACTGGTCACTTGCCGTCCTTTCAATCAGACCAGATCTCCACAAAATGAGGAAGAGAAGTAGTTAGCTGTGAATGGACTTGAGTTTGTATCATTATTTTCTGCTCTTCTGATTACTCAAAGCGCTTTTACACCGCAGGTCACAACTACACATTCACACACTGATGGCAGAGGCTGCTGAGTGAAGTGAACATTAGAGGTAACTAATCCCACTCATACGCTGCAGAGGAAGCAGAGGGAGCAACATGAGGTTAAGTGTTTTGACCAAGGACACATCAGACATGTGGCTTCAGGAGCTGGGGATCGAACCCCCCCCGACCTACCGGTTGACAGACGACCAACTCTACCGATTGAGCCACAGCCGCCACAGCTCCACTCAAAGTAAAGGTGTAAAGACGCAGATGGTGTTTCTCTACATTCAGCTTGCAAGACAAAAAACGATCATGAGCTGTTGTTGTAATAAGCGTCAGGTTGCGTGCAATGGGTCACGGTGGCGGTAATGATGGCGCCTGTCCCAGCATCTTGTTGGTACGCACCAGTATACAGGACAGTACATAGAAACTGAGTATCAAAAGTGGGATTTTACGGTGCATACAGAATGCAGTAAAGCCTCCTGTGTGACTTTCTTCACCTGGCCGCTCTGACCTTTTTACATCTAACAGTAAAGCTCGCCAGAAGCAATCCCGCTCCGATGATAGAAGCGGGGAAAGACGTATGAACAGCTTGTTTGACTGAAGAGAAAAGAGAGAAAAGGAATAAAAAAAAAGGTATTTCTAAAAAAGAGGATGGATGAAGGGGCAGGGAGAGACGGGAAGAGGTGGGGGAGTAAGAGAGAGAGAGAGAGAGAGAGAGAGAGAGAGAGAGAGAGAGAGAGAGAGAAGAATAAAGGAGTCTTTACATGTCTGTGGAACCAGCAGCTCGCAGCACTTTCACATAATTTAAGACATATGGACGTTATTAGGACGACCGTGTGTGTGTGTGTGTCTGTGACTATTTCAGTGTGTGTGCAGAAGTCTGGCAGTGTGTGTGTGTGTGTGTGTGTGTGTGTGTGTGTGTGCGCGACATGTGTGTGTGTGCGTCTTTAAGCCTGTGTCTTTGCGCTGCAGGCTACAGAAGACAGGCACGTTTTTGTGGTGCAGAAGAATGACTGGTGAACTGAACAATCCCCCCCCCCCAAGCACACACACCCCACACACACCCCCACACACACCCGTCCAGCGTGGAACTTGGTATGTCCCAGAGTGACACTGCATAAAAAAAAAACTGTGTTTGATTGGCAGCCATGCTGTGGCAAGAAGGGAGAGGGGAGACACTGTGTGTGTGTGTGTGTGTGTGTGTGTGTGTGTGTGTGTGTGTGTGTGTGTGTGTTGTCTGACCTGTAGTTACCTTTCAGACAGACTGACTCACTCGTCCTACAGTAGCTCCACTCCGCTTGCTCCAGCTCTATTTCTGTAAGCGTGTGTGAAAGTGTGTAAGTGTGTGTGTGTGTGTGTGTGTGTGTGTGTGTGTGTGTGTGTGTGTGTGTGTGTGTGTGTGTGTGTGTGTGTGTGTGTGTGTGGCGCAGTACTCGCCCAAATTGACTTATAATGCGTATTCCAGCACAGACAGGTTAAATAGATTAATTCAAAACGTTAAACCGCCATTTTTGGCTCAGCAAAATTTTGCCAAATCACCAACACAATGTCCACAATCCTCTTTAAAGACTATCGCTGATCTGATCTGATCTGATCGGGAGGGCGATCTCACGACTTGTATAGGTGCCATAACCCCTGAACAAAAGGATGATCGAAACAGCGACCGATCAACCACAAATGACGGAAACCGCTTCCCAAAAAACCAACTCAATCTGGCTGCATAACAAACCAAACAAATGTTCATGACGGCCTTGTGTTTGTTTCTCAGACTGCTCTGAGGTCAGATAGTGTGTGTAAGCCCCTGTGGTCAGGGTTGGAAAGCAGGTCATGTAAACTGATCTGTGACCGGGCGGCCCTCAGGGTGCGGCGGCATGCAGCAGCGGAGGGGAAATGTAGCGCTGCTAACGTCTCGTAGTGCCCTGTGATCTGCGCTAACCACTCCCTAACACACACACAGCATTATATACTGTATATATACATACCCGTACAGAGCGCACACGTAATTCACACATGCACACTTGCATGCACTGAGCTCAGTGGACTATTGTTCATTCATTCTGAGGGGCGATGGAGGGAGGGAAGCAAGGGTTTGGAAGAACGATGAGAGAGAGAGAGAGAAGATGGCAACAGAGGAGAAAAAAAAGGAGAGGAAAAATGAGGTAGAGGACAAAAAAAAAGGAGTATGGGTGCCCAACTGCTGGTTTGGTGGCTGAAACGTTGACCTCAGGAACCACATGTACCCTCATTGGCCGAGGCTCAAAGCCCACTAGAAGCCTCTCTATTCCCTCTCAGACTCCATTATGTCTCAATGGAAAAAAAAAAAAAAAAAGCAGGAACAGAGTGTCTTCACGACCATGTTTCTTCAGTGTGTTAACATGTGGAAAATATATTCTTAATACACAATAAAGCCTTTTTTCTAGCTTCAGCAGCTCGGTTTGTGCAACAACACCACTTCAGGTTTTTCCAAAGGTTGATTCTAGACATGTGGCTCTCTTAAAAAAAAGTGTTATCGAGGACAACAAAAGTGTGCCAGTTTGCCATTTTTTCTTCAAAGTCACAGAGAGTGAAGTCTTCATTGTTTTAAGCATAGTTTAGTTTATCTGCATGGTTATAAAAGAGAAGTAGGAAAGCTATAAAAAGAAACCCGCAGCAATAACATAAACTTAGACCGCAAACAGGCTGCAATTATTAGCTTGTGCATGTTGGGGAAAGAAGGAAAAAACAATCTCAATATACTTCAGAATAAGCAACAACAAAGTAAACCTTGTGCGTAAGTTCATCCCACATCTTCGCCTCCATTTCCAAAACAATTTAAAAGCTAAATTAAGTAAATTAAGGGGGCTTATTTAGCAGCCAATGAACTCTGCGCAAAGTATGTTCCACTCTCATTTGGGCCGAAAATGCAAACTGTGTGCACTAGTCATGATTAAGGTCAGATAAAAAGTAGTACCTCGTCTTCTGTGACACTACATTTCAAGATTTTACTATTTCTACCCCCCGCCAGCAGGAATGGTTATCTTTTTCTTCTTGTCCATCTAGACCCAACTCCTAACTGTTCTGACGAGAGCTCAAGAGGTTAAACGCACCAGAGTGTTATTTATCCAAATAAAACCAAGTGTTGGTGACTGATCTGTATTAATATAAAAGCCCCATTCTAGTCTAGTCTGCTCACGTTTCTCCTCTCCTCTCCAATTGGTCTCCACTTCTAAATCATTTCCAAGACTGTTTTAAGGGCAGTGTTGGAGCTTAAATCTGATGGAATGTTATTTGTCCAAACAACACTGACGACTGTCGACTGATTCATACAAAGAAATACTACGAGCAGCCAGGAAAGACTTAAACCCCTCCTTCTCCCACTTCTCTGCTCTGTCTGTCTGTCATCCCAGTTCTGCTGACTACAGGGGAAAGCCTCCACAATGTATAAGTCTCTGTAAAGAGGGATGGAGGGGGAGAAGGAGAGAGAGTTTGGGGGTGAATAGGGACTGGGCATCACAGTAAGTGAATAGGAATGAACACACGATGGAAAGTCTTGTGGAGGTACAACTCATTAGAGAGAAGAAGGGGATTAATGGATAGTACAAGTTGTAGAGATGTGACAGCGGGAAGACGAAAGGTTAATATTAGGAAAATTGTGCAAGGATCAACCTCTTAAAATGTCAAGTGAGTCAGAACCACATCTTGCTTCAATATCATCTATAGGAGAAATACCATGACATTTTGGTGGTTTGTTCGTCATTTAAAGACTTGTGTGTCAACTTACATTGGTTTCATTGTTCTACCAAATTTGGTTAAGGTTGCAGGGGTGAAAGTGTGCAAAATAAAACAATATTGGAGAGTATTTTTGTAGGACTTGTGAGGATAGCTACATGGAAGATTTCATGGAATCAGGTAAACTATTTGACGGGGTAAATAGCAACATGTTGCATTTGCAATGGCCAAACTGGACCCCTTGCTTACCTATTACCATTTTCATTAAAATACTTGGACACTGACTTTTTATGCCATCATCAAAGAGGATCAAATACAGCTGAATAAACATGTCCTTTGGGCCATCTGTTCACACACCTTTTCAGTCAGGATTTGCCATGCTCAGAGGTTTCCTAAAGATATTCAACTGTAAGAGGATCATATACTGTGTACAGTGTTAGGCTAATCAGTGCTTTTGTCCTCTGCTCGCTTGTGTGGGTTCAAAAGACTTTCTCTTTGCTTTCTGTCCATGTGCCAACTCATAGAATTTACGAGTGTTTAATGAAAATCCTGGTTTGATCTTATCAGCCTTGGCAGTTTGTGTCATGAACAGACAGGTGTAATTCCCGCTTCTGAATTTTAAGTAAATGGAAATGTATGCTTTTCACTCTGTCTCTCCAGGTGTTTGCCAAAGTGTTCAGCCACGAGGCTTTAGAGTCCTACCTCCCGAAAATCCAGCAGGTCATCCAGGAAAGCCTCCGAGTGTGGAGCTCCAACCCTGAGCCCATCAACGTCTACAGGTACGGAAGGGGGCCTCAAGGGGAAGTGCATTCACAAGAGAAGAAAATATCAATTTCACTGTCTAAAAAAATAGGGTTGGGAGTATTGTAAAATTTCAGGTTAAAGTGTCATCCTAGAAGGTAGGAATAATGTAGTCGTATACTGTGCCTATTCGGTTTCTAAAAACCTTGAGATGGTAGAAATCACAACTTATATAGTAATGGCATCAATGACATAATCATGCTTGCAACAAGGAAAATTCAACATTACAAGTCAAAATGTTCACAGAAAGATTGGGACTAAAAAGAGAAATGTTGCAGCAATCAAAAACAGTTTTTAGGAAATGATAACTGCTTCAAAAACAACAAAGTTGGCTCGGAACCAAGAGGCAGCATTGATAGTAAAAATAATTCGGGATTTAAAACGATATTCTTTGGTGTGAAATCGTCCATGTTTTTGCAGTTGTGCACATGTTGAAAAAGGTATTAACCAGTTTCTATCCATGAAAATAAAGCAGAACATCATCAGCAGAGGTAGAAATATCTTATCTGTTAGAGTACTAACAGTAAAAATTCTTGGGAAGAGCTCTGTCTCTTTATAATAAAGCCCAACAAAACGTACATAAAAATTGTATAAATATAGGTATCACTTGTCAGGTATCACATTTAAGGCACTAAATTAAATTGGTCCTGATTGGTTGTCTTTTCACAGGGAGAGCCAGAGGTTGTCGTTCACAATGGCCGTAAGGGTGCTGCTGGGATTCAGGGTGACCGAGGAGGAGATGAGGCATCTCTTCTCAACCTTCCAGGACTTTGTTGACAACCTGTTCAGTCTGCCTATAGACCTGCCATTCAGCGGCTACAGAAAGGTATCGCCAACTTTCTCCTGAAAGAAATACAACCTATTGTTTTTCCATTGGTCTAAGCTTTTCCGCACTTAACTTGCTATTCACCAATTGTTTCTCAACATCACAAGAGAAACACAAGACTCTTTTAAACTGAAAAACTTGCAACAATGTTTAGCTACTGGCATCTTTGAGACAATTGGTTTAACAGGTTGAACCAAAATATTTTAGTTAATTTTTTTTTGTAAACTAGAAATTAATGTTTCAAGTGCAAGGATTAAGCTTTCTTTGTTTTGGTTTGTAGGGTATCCGTGCACGAGACTCCCTTCAGAAAAGCATAGAAAAAGCCATCAGAGAGAAGCCGCTATGTTCTCAGGGGAAGGATTACAGCGATGCGCTGGACGTCCTGATGGAGAGCGCCAAGGAGAATGGCACTGAGCTCACCATGCAGGAACTGAAGGTAACACACCTTTGAACAAAACTCTTGTGATACGGGAGAAAAGGTGTGCAAGCAAGCATAAGAAGTGGCTGTATCACAGATGTTCATGCTAACAAGTACAGCACGAGTACACACTCACCCTGCTGCGTATTTATTCACATGAATACAGTCACACGTAAAGAACACACTCACTGTTTACCTAGCAAAGTGCTGCCAAAGGGAACCTGTCTTGGATGACTGAACACACACATATAGACCAACAAATATAATTTGTCCAACAAATCATCTTTGGATCATAAGCAATGGAAGTGACTTTATATACACATCTTTATGTAAAATATGGCTGCAGGGCTGCTCAGCCGATGCCCAGAGGCAGACAGTAACAGTATAAGACACACACTCATGGACAGGCACACCCTCTATTTACCTATTAAAATAATTTTGAAGAATTCTCTGGAAACTGAACTCGCTCTGCGTCTCTCTCACTCTCTGCGGCTTCTGGGTTAAGTCCAGGGCCAAAAATAAGTCAACACTCCCCCTGCTAGGGGTCTGAAAGAGGCCTCCTGTACGCACACACTCACACACACACACACACACACACACACACACACACACACATATATATATAAATACACTCAAAAAGTGAACTGGGGAGCCCCTGTCGCAGAGGCCCAGGCTGAAGCACTCTCCCTGCAGTTTTCTGACGCACACATATATAACACACAGACATGGGGTGAAGCGGAGATGTGTTTTGACACGGATGATGGCAGATGAGAGGTTTATAATGAGCGTCGTGCCGCCCAGCCTCAGTGTTATTTATTCCACTACCTTAATAATGGGCCCGGTACGGTACGAAAAATGTTATTATTGGATATGAACTTTCCAAAAAAAACCCACTTCTTTTTAGGAAAGAAAAACATCACACTTTTATTATGTCTTGGCTTTTGACATTTTTTTTGGCCATGTTATTATGAAACAAATGGCAGGCTTGAGGTGTTGGATGGTGGATTTGTGCCGAAAGTAAGGATGAGGCTCAAGTTCAGTTTTCTGACAATTTTCCCTAATGATCATAAACCAAAAAGACAGATAACTCCATTACATGTAGATTGAGAAAAACACTGTTCTCCCATCCTTATTTGTTTAGCTACCTCCCCTAAAACAGTTATCGTAGCTATAGTTGGGCTTTTTGGCTGATATCCACACCCACACTCAGCATATTTTACTACCATCAATATTTCCATTCTCTGGACCATTTAATCCAGTGACAAGCTATTAGCCCATCAGTAGCTGAATCCAGATGGCTTGTTAACAAAGTAAAGTTAAATCAGTTCAAATGGCCATGGTAAATATTTGTACTTAGTCTAAATTTGTGTTCGTGCTGAAATTAAGCTTTTCTTTAAAGATCAATGACAAGCTTTTCCCCGAATCTGGCCCTGTTTTGTATAATTATAGTGACAGTAAGGGAGATTATGTTTTGAAGCTTTGTGGGGCACAGACACGGAAACCCCCTAGAGGTTGGAAGTCAATATGATGGGTTTCAAGATGATTAACAAAATTGAAAAAATAGGAAATACAGTAGCAGACCATATTTGTTTTTGTATTACTCAGGCTTTTCATTATCTAGACTTTTGTTTTTTTTAAAGATTTCTGAGTATCCAGGCGTAAATATTTGAAAATAACTTTAATAGTAATAATCTTAGTTGTACAGCACTTTTAAAACCGTGGCATTGCTGATCACCCAGACAAGATACTTAAGTGGGCCAAACATGGATGGAGTCCATAAAGGTGGTACCCATTTTGGTCTCACTTGGCTGGGCAAAAATGATTCAGGAAGATTGTACTAATAGACCATCTTGCTTCTCAATCATCCCTTAGGAGTCGACCATCGAGCTGATCTTTGCGTCCTTTGCCACAACAGCCAGCGCCAGCACTTCACTTATCATGCAGCTCCTCCGCCATCCTCAGGTCTTGGAGCGCCTGAGGGAAGAGCTGAGAGCTAGAGGTCTCCTCCACAATGGCTGCCTCTGCCCTGAAGGAGAGCTGAGGTTGGACACCATCGTGAGCCTTAAGTACCTGGACTGTGTCATCAAGGAGGTGCTCAGGCTCTTTACGCCTGTCTCAGGGGCATACAGAACCGCCATGCAGACTTTTGAACTTGATGTGAGTAGCACTGAGATAGTTCTGACTGAATACTTTAGACCTTAAAAGTGAGGTTTCAACTGTATCTGCTTTTATTTGGTTATGCAAAGGTAGTTCTGTACAGTCTTATCAGAAAACAACCCATAGTCCAAGTTTTACCAAAAGCCATGCACTCAATGGCTACTTTTCTTTTTCTTCATGTCTCCAGGGGGTTCAGGTTCCTAAAGGCTGGAGTGTGATGTACAGCATCCGGGACACCCATGACACCTCAGCTGTCTTCAAGGACGTGGATGCCTTTGACCCTGACCGCTTCAGTCAAGAGCGAGGAGAAGACAAAGAAGGGCGCTTCAACTACCTTCCATTTGGTGGTGGTGTCCGGTCCTGTCTGGGCAAACAGCTCGCCACTCTCTTCCTTCGCATCCTCGCCATTGAGTTAGCCAGCACCAGCCGTTTTGAGCTTGCTACCCGGAACTTCCCTCGTGTGATCACGGTACCAGTGGTCCACCCTGTTGACGGGCTGAAGGTCAAGTTCTATGGCTTGGACTCTAACCAGAACGAGATCATGGCCAAGACAGACGAGCTGCTTGGGGCAACTGTTTGAAGGGCAGGAAGTAGACAAGTAAGGGGGAGGGGTGAGTTATCTAAGAAGTCTTTAGGGTGAAGATTGAAGGTTGGAAAGAAATAATTTCAGTTATTTTTCTTCTCCACCTTTTCTCTGCTAAGTTAGGGGTTCTTTTTCAGACTAAAAGAAAAGCAGAGGTCTTCATCTCTTGTTACAACTGCAAATGATGAGAGGAATGTACCTCTGAGAAAGGAAGAAGCTGCCAAAAACGTTCTTAATTATGCTCTATTCTGTGTATTTTTTAAAGAAATATACAAACAAAATCTATTTACAAAAAAAAGCTATGTAATATAATTTGAAATATAGAATGTGGGTAGTGCACAATGGTAGTAAGAAGGAATACGTGTACTTTGGTGAAATGAATTGAAATAAATTGTGAAATAAGGATGTTGTGGAAAGTGGTGATGACTCTGTTTTCCATCAGAGGCCCATCAAGATTCAAATTGCCTACCAGCTAACAGATGCATTGGCAAGGATCATAGTACATTGGGTAGCAGGTTGTGTCATAGTGCCATTTAAATTTTCAGATTGGCTCTGCACCTCTTCTTCAAGCCAACCAAATCATGATGCAGTAAATACTTTGACTGGCTTCAATTTGTACTGCTAATAAGTATTCATTTGGGCAGTAGATGAGAGAGCCCTTCCATGAGTAATATGTTCTGTAAGGGAAGATATCATAGCTGCATGTACTAAGGGGCAAAAGGCTTTTTGAATTGATATAACTGGGCAAATTGTTCAACTTTACCTATTTCTACTTTCTTCTTTACTGCTGTTTTCATCAAAAAGTTGCCTCTAATTGTTTGACTTTTAAAAGAATACTTCCTACATTGCACCCAGTTATGCATCCTATTGTAGAATAAGCTAAAATTACAAACACTATGAGAAAAAAAAACCTATTTATTCTGGAGTTTTAGAGCTTAGATTACATCCTAATAACAATTCGTACCTCAAAACTATGCCTTGTTGGTATTCCAAATTGGAAACTCTAAAATGTCAAAATATTAGGGACAGAAACAGACAGCAGGAATACTGGCATGTCTTAAAATTGTGGCTTGTTATATAACTCCATTCCCCAGTCCTTGCCACTGTAGGTTGCCCACCAATGTAGACTCAAAATGATGCCAATATGAAAACGCTAATCCTAGTAATCTTGTTGGTATGTGAACTCAGGTGAAGATTTAACTATGTGATGGATAAAAAGCATTTTATTGGTGGTTAACTCTGACTGGCTGCACATAAATGCTGTCACTTACTGTGGAGGTTAATGAGCTGGACTGAATACTTTTTTGAAAAGTGGTCAATTCTCAACAATACAATTTCAGGGGTTTCCAATAGTACATGCTCTCACCTGATGTATTAGCATCTGCAACCTTTTAGTATCTGCCCAAGCGAGCTATTTAGAGGTGCAAGCAGAATCAACAAACCCTATACGAATTGGCATCGCACAAGATAAAAGTAACTGAATCCAGGTCCAGGGTTTTGTTTTGTTTTGTGTATTCTCTGACCGTTTGCTTTGATGCATAAACTTCACTTTCAAGTTGCGTTGAGATTGAATTCTCTTGGACAGTAAATTACAGCGAGAATTGCAATAAACAACTTGCTCTCGCTAAGCAAGAGAAAAGAACAAGGGACACAGTTGAGCTGGGGAGGAGAAAACTTACATACATGCTGCTTGAATGTTGCTTTTGTCATATTGTGTTTGTTTGTTAATGTGCTGTGTTTTTTTATTTTATTTTCCGTCTCCGTGGGGCAGCCATTTTGAGTTCTGTGGGGAAGGTGACATTCTGTCTTGCTGCTCCTCCAATCAACGCTAATGATGCAAAAACAAAAGAATTTTCCATGGTTTAAGCAACTTTATTAGCTGAAAGAGATTTATTGTTTGAGGTGATTGCACAATCAGAACTCTCAGAGCTTTGTGTATTCCATATTTGGAGAGGAATATTTGTTTTTCTTATTTCCCATTCATGGAAAGCTACGGCAACAGAACTCTGGGAACTTGGTAGCGGAACTCTTGGACATTCTAGAAGCCTTGAACAGAGTTCTAAGTTCCAAGTGAAACCGAAGCTTGAGAGAGATGGACCAATGAGATTTCAGGGGAGGGCAGGGTCACTCTCAGAGGGCTTTTCCTATTGGACGATCATGATGCCCAACAGCATTCCAGATGGATTCTGCCTGTGCTAGCCATTGGTCACTCTTTTTACCAACCACACCACTGATTTCTTCTTATGAAAAAAATAAAAAAACAAAAATAGAATTTTTTGCTGCTTTTCTTGTGTACATTTTTCTAATTGAGAGTTATAGATTGCAATAGTTTGTACCGAGTGAGATTTGCCATTTCTTCCTTTTTTATATATATGATTATAATTTAGCTGATTAAAATATTTGCATTTTGTGGAAGCGAAAGAGCATTCATAGGTAACAGTGTATATTAATTTGTACAATATTTCTTTCCTTAGCAAGCCATGGGGAAAATCAGCTATTTACATCTACTAATAACCTAATATTAATGTTATTGTACAATTAATATTATTGTTATAAGATATTTGAAATGATATTTTTTATTCTATTACAGATATAGAGTTTTTAGGCTAAATGAGAAGGTCTCTGGTAAATATTGGATGTATTTAGAATGTTATGTATTTCAGTTATATTGTAAACAGTGTTTAAAATGTTAATATTGTTTATTTGATTACTGTAATAATTATTATTATTTGTTTTGTTATCAGACTTATTATCACTGCATTTTATTTGATATTAATTATGGAAAACAGAAAGCACTTGCGAGGTATGTCTATTTTTTAAGTGCCATGCGACTACACTTCCCGTTCCTCTCACCTGTCGGTTTCTTCGAAAAAACTTGTCTTATGTCTTTCTGTAAATAATATTTTTATTTCTTTTTACAGGAAAAAAATGTTCATTTAGTTGAAATATGAATGTCTTGTCCTACTTTCTTTTCCTTTTTGTTACCGTGACTGTTAAATGTACTCCTGTAATAAACTATAAAGAAAAATAATAGAGAGTTTTGTATAATTCCAGAAAATGTCATGATTTGGTGTTTTAGATGTCAAACAGTGGATACTAAAATGACAATTAATCCTGCCCTTTGAACCACAACTATTTACCATTATTATATGTGGAGTAGTGGTGGGAATCACCAGAGGCCCCACGATACTTGAGTCACAATTCATTGCGATTTTAAACATTTGCTGAGAATTGCGATACGATTTAACTTTTTTTAACTCCATGTTCAGTCCACAAAATTAAAAATCAAGAACTGTTTAACAAGTTTTCTGGCTTTAGAAAGACACATAGGGAAGCAATTCAAATCTTGAAACAAAAACATTGAAATACAATTTTTGTTTCGCTATTCATGTCTTCAAAGTGAATCTTACAAAGAATCTGAGACGTGTCATGTGGGGAACACACAGAAACTTGAAGTCTGGTTTAGACTCTCAGCACACTGACTGCCTTGTGTCTCAGTGCGTCCATATCTTTTTTTATATCCCAGGCAGCAGAACAGTGTGGTTTATGAACATGAAGAAGAAACTGACTGGGAGTTTTCTTTAGCTTGATGGAAGGCAGAAACACAGACAAAGAAAGGGAGAAAGCAATTCCAATGACAGATGTAACAAAAAAGTAAATAAACAAACTTCAAAGACATGGTTTGAGAGTTTACACACCCACACGCATTAGTTCTTTTATACTTTTGAGGAATCTCATTGGTATAATACATTCCCAGCCCATACCCAACCCCCCATTATCACGAGTACTAAACCACAAACCCCAACCTGATCCTTATTCAAATCTGAACTTCAAACCAAGTCTGAATCCTTAATCATACCTCATAAAAGGGCAAAAACCAAGATGACCTAATGTCACTAAATGGTCCTCACTCAGGGTTTAATATCAAGTGGTTCTCACAATGATAATAGTACGGGCACACACACACACACACACACACACACACACACACACACACACACACACACACACACACAAACAAACACAGCTGGTGGAAAGAAAATAATTCGTAAGTCTGTTCGTAGTTTTCTGTCTGAACAACAGCTCTCAAAGACGAACCCCAAGGGAATCAGTTTGTACTTTCAGGAATCAACGAATATCAAATCAATAGATGTAGGAAAATGCAATCATTTAACCAAATGTCCCTTTTAAATCTTTCAACCTTTTCAGGGCCATTAAATAAAAATATTCCCATTTTGCAGAGAACATTTTTGACTCAAGCTTTGAGAAGTACAAAAAGAAAGAAAACAAGGAGACAGACATAGAGGACAGAGGGGAAAAGCAGAAAAATTAAGGGTGAGCAATAAAGTCCTCTCGGCTGTGACTTTCATGGCTTCTGAAGGATTAAAGCAGTTATTATCCAGCAGAATGGATGCAGAAGCACACAGCAGAACCCTCAGCTGGAGGTATGACGGATCATGAGAAACACAGAGAACAGACAATCAGCATGGAGACTGAATCAACAGGATGAAGACTTCTGAGGGAACAGAAGTGTGACAGTCCATCTCAGAGCAGGATGATGTAGTGAAGACACAACAGAGAGAAGAGAAACTGAACAATGCTAATCACAAACTTTATGCAGGACTCTGATTTAATCCAATCCTTTTTATTCTGGGCACTTTACTTTGGGCTGGATGAGTAAAAATTAGAAACTCTTAAAATGTAATAAAGGGCAGAGAAAGTTCAACAACAAGATGAATGTGAAGATGCAAATGCTTTTCTTTTATCTAAACATAAGGTAACACTTTATATTAAGGTGCTTGTAATAAGCATTAATAACAGGTAATAAGTGACTTATAAGACCTTATTAGATTCGTATTTACACAAATAAGACTAAGTGTTAATATAGGCATAATTAACACATTTATTATGTCTTATAGACACTTATAGGCTCTTATTAGAAATGTACTGACACTTTATATACCGTCATAACATTAATAAGACTTCATGAGTGTTAATTAAACTATAGATTAATTTATAATTGGCTTGTAAAATATTAATTAACACAAAGAAACTTGTTTATAGACCACTTATCAACATTCATAAGAATTGACATTAATAAGACTTTATTAGGTTCATATTAATGCCTTATAAAGGTTAATAAATACTTTATTATGCACTTATTAACAGTTAATAAAGCTCTTCTGCAGGTACTAGATCTAAAGTGGGAACACTACTTATAAAGATTAATAAATACTTTAACATGCACTTATTAACAGCTCAGTGGGAACAGGGTCCAACTTTCAAGTAAACGCAGAAACAAAAAGGAGGTCTATTGAACTTCCACTCAAACAGTTTTTGAAAAAAATAAATGTTTATTGACATTATTGACA